CGGCATGAATATTCGACTGATGTTGAAAAAATGAACATATCAATATTACTATCAGGATAAAATACACTAAAAAATTAAAGCAATAATGCTCGACATTATCAGGTACAACTACAAGTAGAAAAGATGTTTATAAGGATCTCTTTAAAAATAAGTTATAAATTGATAAATATTTTATATATATATAAAGACAGTTATGCAAACCTTTACACAGTTTTCCAGGGCAAAATGTTTATTTGGTATTCACAACGTAAAGACGCACACACATTGAACATTATTATACAAAAAATAGTATTACTGCACATGAAACTAAGCGTCCAATCACAGCTAAGACAAGTATTGATTTATCTATCCGATGCTTATACACAGTCATAAAACAACGTACAAACCGACTTCAATGCGTCGCTTATTAATGTATACATCAATAATTATCATTAAGTTGATAAAAAAATGTTTTTTTTGTCATCAACCTGAAAATAAAACGGGACTTCACTCAGATTCAAGACAATAGATATAATGTGTTACATGACTATGCATGTTTTATAGTATTTGCGCTATGTCTGGTAATGGTATTTTTCGTTATTTTATTTGTTCTGTAAAATAGAGATTCGGAGAAACGGGAAAAACAAATGACCCAGAAAATCAAAGAACTGGAGGTAAGATTGTTTCCATCTACTTCGACATACCGGATTTATGTTATTTACAAATATCAGGTATTTACATACCTTGTACTTATGTGAATAGTTAAAATTTTCATATGTATCTCAAATTTTAATGTGTAATTACTGATATGAACTTAAATAGTAACAGAAAGATTAAACATGTTAAAACTGTCAATGTCAGAAGCATGTTTAATACCTGCGTTTAAACTTCAATTCATGAATTAGTATACAAATAGATATGTACAAACGCCTGCTATCAGTAATGTGAATTTTACAACAAATACAGATATATAATCTAACTATGTATTAACATACATTTGTATGTAATACATGAACTATTAATGCCGGTTTGAAAACACAATACACATTTGTCTATTGGGATATTCATTTTATGTTTCAGAGTCGTCTACTGTGTTCAGTGAGTATAAATGGCATTCACATTAACATATTGTTTGTTATAGACGTGGCAATTACAAAACATCCTTACATACTTGTTGGTTCGATAATGCCTTAAAGTGGTTTTAATAATGGAACGGAGAATTAAAAACATAAACCAGTTCATTGACAACCAATAAGCATATATCGTATCAGACTATACCT